GCTCATCCTCCTCCTCCTCACTGCCACAAATCCCAAGGTTTTGGAGCTCTGTGGAGAGCTCATCCTCCTCTTCATTCCCACAAAGAGAGCTCATTCTTCTCACTCCCACAGAGAGCTCATCCTCCTCCTCCTCACTCCCACAAATCAAAGCTTTGGAGCTCTCTGGAGAGCTCATCCTCCTCCTCACTCCACAAATCAAGGTCTTGGAGCTCCGTGGAGAGCTCATCCTCCTCACTCCCACAAAGAGAGCTCATCCTCCTCCTCACTGCCACAGAGAGCTCATCCTCCTCCTCCCTCCCACAAAGTGAGCTCATCCTCCTCCTCACTGCCACAAATCAAGGTTTTGGAGCTCTGTAGAGAGGTCATCCTCCTTCTCACTCCACAAATCAAGGGTTTAGAGCTCCGTGGAGAGCTCATCCTCCTCCTCACTCCCACAAATCACAAGGGACAGTGAAGGGACAGCTCCAATCTCTGCTCACGGTGATCGGTGATGGGATAGGTCAGAGTGGGGTTAGGTTGGAGATCAGGGAAAGGTTCTTCTGTCCCCAGAGGGTGCTGGGCACAGCTTCAGAGCTTCCAGAGTTCCAGGACAGCGCTCCCAGGGGGATTTTGGGGGTGTCTGTGCAGGGCCAGGAGCTGAACTCGATGATCCCTCCCAGCTCCGTTCATCCCCTGTGAAATGCAGCTCCCAGCCCTGCTGCTGCTGCCCTGCTGAAACATCTCTCACTTCTGCCTCCCTACAGAGGACTTCTTGGGGATGTCCCCACTGCCTTGTGGAAACATCACATTTCCAGGAGCAGCCCAGATGGATCCCTCTGCAAACATCACAATTCCAGGAGCAGCAAATGTCACAATTCCAGGAGCAGCCCAGAACCATCCCTCTGCAAACATCACAATTCCAGGAGCAGCCCAGAACGATCCCTGTGCAAAGATCACAATTCCAGGAGCAGCTCAGAACAATCTGTCTGCAAATGTCAAAATTCCAGGAGCAGCTCAGAACAATCCCTGTGCAAACATCACAATTCCAGGAGCAGCTCAGAAAGAGGAAAAGCACCCCTCTGTTTCCTCTGAGCCCGTCCTGCTGGAGCAGAGCCCCTCAGAGAGCAGCGAGAGCGTGTCCTTTGTGACTCAGATTGCAAATCCTGTGCCTGCCACCCCTCTAGAGACTGCAGCAGCACCCACGGGCGCCGSGGATCTCTGCCAGCGCCTGGTGGAGGCCACTCTGGAAGAGCAGAGCTCCGTGCCAAAACCCTCAGAGGCTGCTCAGCCTTCTTCAGCTGCTGAGGAAYCCTCAGCTGGAGCAGAGCTCCGAGAGCTGGAGAGCAAAGGGCAGGGCAGGACTGAGACTGTGAGAGAGGAGGGACCCACGGATCTGAGAGTGTTCGAGCTCAATTCGGACAGCGGCAAATCCACCCCCTCCAACAACGGCAAGAAAGGTTTGTGTGGGGCTGTGATGGGGTGGGATTTTGGGGAAATTCTGGGTTTGTGGTGATGGGGGAGAGGAATTGGGCTGAAATCAGCAGGAAGGGAAGATCCTGATGGATGAAATCAAAGGGGATTTAAATCCTTTGTGCTGTTGGTCACATCAGGGAGTGACAATCGGTGCTGGGACAATCTGAGCCCCTCCTGTCACTCCTTCCCTGCTGTATTTTCTGTGTGATTGCCACCTGACACATCCCAGTTCTCCCAGGCCAGAGGAGAAAACATTTCAGYTTGTTTGAACCATCCCAGTGAAGGAATGGAGCTCAGCCCATCCYATCTCTGTCAGGGAGCTGTTCCTGGGATTGTGGTGGTTTTTCCTCCCTGATCTTTGGGAATTTCAGAGTTTTGGGACCCGTTCTGGTGGCTCAGTGGGGATTTTTTCACTTCCAGGCTCCAGCACGGACATCAGCGAGGACTGGGAAAAGGATTTTGATTTGGACATGACTGARGAGGAGGTGCAGCTGGCGCTSTCCAAGGTGGAAATGTCCGGGGAGGTGAGTCAGGGGAGGTAAAACTGCCCCCCAAAAGCATCACCAAACCCTTGGGGTGATGTTTTTTGAGCAGAGAGGGGCTGGGATGAGGGGAGCAGAGCTGSCAGATYCCTGTTGGGAAGGTTGGGAGAATGAGGAAACATCAGGGTTTGTGCTGACTGGGGTGCCCTGGGTGGTAAAAGCTGTTAAATTATCAAAATAAACTGCTGAAAACAGTTCAGAAACAGCTCAGAAACAGCCAAGAAACAGCTCAAAAACAGCCCAGAAACAGCTCAAAAAAGGCCAGAAACAGCTCAGAAACTGTTCAGAAATAATTCAGAAACAGCACAGAAACAGCCCAGAAACTGCTCAGAAACATCCCCCAAGCCCCAGATCCCATATTCCAACCCCAGAAATAGGCCAGAAGCAGCTCAGAAACAGCTCAAAAAGAGCTCACAAAAGGCCAAAACCAGTTCAGAAACAGCCCAGAAACAGATCAGAAAGAGCTCAGAAAAAGCCCAGAAACAGCCCCTAAACCCCAGATCCCATATCCAAACCCCAGAAATAGCTCAGAAAGAGCCCAGAAACAGCCCTGAAACAGCTCAAAAACAGCTCAGAAAGAGCCCAGAAAACACCTCAAAACCAGTTCAGAAAACAGCTCAAAAAAAGGCCAAAACCAGTTCAGAAACAGCCCAGAAACAGATCAGAAACATCCCCCAAACCCTAGATCCCATATCCAAACCCCAGAAACAGCTCAGAAACAGTTCAGAAAGAGCTCAGAAAACAGCTCAAAACCAGTTCAGAAAAAGCTCAAAAAAAGGCCAAAACCAGCTCAGAAACAGCTCAAAACCAGCTCAAAAATGGCTCAAAATCAGTTCAGAAAAAGCTCAAAAAAAGGCCAAAACCAGCTCAGAAACAGCTCAAAACCAGCTCAAAAATGGCTCAAAACCAGTTCAGAAACAGCTCAAAAAAAGGCCAAAATCAGCTCAGAAACAGCCCAGAAACAGCTCAAAACCAGCTCAAAACCGAATTTCCTCCCGTTTTCAGCTGGAAGATGAAGAGTGGGAAGACTGGGAATAAAGCAGCTGCCTGCAGCGAGCGTGGCAGGCTCATTTCCACCATCCAACGTGAATTCAGTCCCGGATTGAGCGGCCGTTCCTGTGTGTGTGACTGTGCTGGGGGTGCAATTCCAGCCTGGAGGAGTTTCAATTATTTCCTGCTCAAACCCATCTCCAGTGCCCCCTTGGGATCCAGGAGGAGGAAACTTGGGAGATCACACAGGAACCCGATTTCTCCTAAAAAAAACGGCCGAGAGGCAAAACTGTGCCCGAAAAGGCAGAGCTGGGCACTCAGAGCCCGTGCCAGGCGTGCTGGGAGATGCCAATTTGCCMCTTTTGGTTCTTTCCTTGCCCGTGTGTGCACGTTTAACCTGCTGCTGAGAGGTTTCTGCGCCTGTTTTTGCGTTTTCCACCCCAAAAACGGTGCCCGGGGCGGGCTGGGAGCTGGAGGTGCTGCAGGAAAAGGAGCTCAACTTGTGGTTTTGCCCCTAAAAAAAGCCAAACCCCTGCCAAACCCTGAGCTTCTGCCTGGCTTTTTGTCTTGGAAGCTTTTTCTCACTGAAATTCCCATTTTTTTGGCAGTTCCTGGAAGGGCCGAGGCTTTGCTGCTCCCCCTCTGTAGCTGCGCTGGGTTTTTTTGTGTTTTTCTGGTTCAATTCTCACCAAAATTGAACAAAATCTTTGTGGCTTGCTGTGATTGAGCCCTGCTGGGCTGGCAGCAGAATCCTCGTGGTGGTGGTGCCTGGTTTAACCCTCAGCTTGACCAASTGACCACTCAATTCTGCCTTGGCCGTGCCCTCTGCCAGCCTGAGGATCCCAAATGTGACCTGAGAATTTGTGTCCCCATCTGAGCCCTGTCCCCACCGTGCCAGGCCCTGCTGAGCTCATTTGGGTTCCTTCATTTGGATCCCACGGGCATTTTTTGGGGCCATTTCTTCATCACGATGGGATTTTGCTCGTGCACGGATTTCCCAAAGGGGCAGCGCTGTCCTTGGCCTTTGGGGTGACACTTTGGGGTGCTGGGTGCCACTTTGGGGTTCTGTATGCCACTTTGGGGTGCTGGGATGACACTTTGGGGTGTCCCTTTGGGATGCCCCTTTCTGCCTTTGTCCCGCCCCTTCCAGGGACTGGGATTTTCCTGCTGGGTTTGGGGTGCACTTGGCAAAATTGGGGTTTTGGGGCTGGTTTTTCCTCTTTTGGGGTGAGTCCTGAGAGCATCCCTGTCCTGCCAAACCCTGGGGATTGGGTTCAGATTGTGACAGGGGACACAATGGGGACACCAGCTGATCCCACAGCAGAGCTCGAAGGTGCAGCATCTGTGTCACTTTTATTTTATTTTATTTTTTTTTTTTCTTTAGTCGAATTAACCGTTGGGTTGGTTGTGCAATATTCTCTGTTTTCTCGAACTATTCCACATCTCCCTGAGCCTTTTCTAGCTGGGGTGAGGAACCAGGAACAATTCTAACAGCTGGTAGTTTTGTAACGATGACTTTCTCCAAACCTTTTACAGACTTGCAGTTAACAGCGATTAAAGGAATTCTCAGAGTCTCTGCCTGTCCTGGCTCTTCTCATTTCCTTTGTGATGGGGACAACATTGACAATTTTTAATTTTCTCCCRTTTTTCCACTGCCTCAGGCTCCTCAGAGCTCTGTCCCCCATAAAGTGTGACCCAGAGCCTGGCACGTCACCCATGAGGCCACAAAGATGGAAAACGCACCCAACAGTGCCACCAAATCGGGATATTCTGTGATTTTGTGACAAAAATGGCAATGGGGGTCACCGAGGGAGGGATTTTGTGGGAATGCTGAGCTCCAGCAAATCCGGTCCTGCTTTCCAGGGAAAGGAGGGGGACACGAGTGGAGGGTGGGACTGGAGGGGTGGGGGACAAGAGACAGGACACGAGTGAGGGGACACGGGGGTTGGGACATGGGTGACAGGAGAGAGGTGACAGGACACTGGGGACAGGACATGAGAGACCGAACACGAGTGATGGGACACGAGTGACAGGAGGTGGGTGACAGGACACGAGTGACAGGACACGAGTGACAGGACACGGGTGACGGAACACGGGTGACAGGACACAGGTGACAGGAGACAGGTGACGGGACACGAATGACGAGAGGTGACAGAACACGAGTGACAGGAAAGGTGACAGGACACGGGTGATGGGACACGAGTGACGAGAGAGGTGACAGGAGAGAGGTGGCACGACACGGGTGACGGGAGGTGACAGGACACGAGTGACAGGACACGAGTGACAGGACATGAGTGACAGGACACGGGTGACACGAGAGGTGACAAGATCCGCCCACCGCGACAGTTCCGCCCCCGCCCGCTGGGGGCGCCCGATCCCCGCAGCTCCGCCCCTCCACCCTTCGCGCGCACAGCTTTGGCCCCTCGCGGCCGCCGTCCGGCCCGCGCCCCGCCCGCTGCCGCCATATTTTGGCCGCCGCCACCGCCACCGGAGCCGCCGCCGCCGCCGCCGCGATGGGTGAGGGCCGTGAGGGCCGGGAGGGGCGGGGGCGGCTCGGGGGGGCTCCGGACACGGCCGGGGGGGTGGGACAGAGCCGGGAGAGCCGCTCCGGGGCCGGGCAGCGCGCACAGCCCGCTCGCCCCGCGCTGCCGCCGCCCTCGGCTCTCACCGGCGTCCCGGGCGCTCCCGAGGCTGAGGGCGGCGGGGCCGGCGCGGCCGCTGAGTCATCCCGGAGCCGCTCCCGGGGGTTCGGGGGGCGCGGGGCCCTCAGGGGGCTCTCGGTGAGGGCAGACCGGGGGTTGTGACCGCTTCGGGCAGCGCCAACAGCGGCTGTGGGGAGCTCCGGGCTGAGCGCGAGCTGCGCTTGAGTCCTGAAAATACCCTGAATTTGGGGTCTTTTTGGTRAAATAGCGCGCGTTTGGGGTCTCAGTGCTGTAAGACCCCGTTTTTGGGGCGTCGGTGCTGTAACTTTGGAATATTTCGGGCTGTTCCTGAGATGGACCCGCTGCATCAGGCTGTCAGATTTCTGCTTCATTTAAATTCTCAGATAACTTAATTTAAATTCTGAACTCTGGCGGAGTTCACCATTCCAGTGAGAATCCAGCTAACCTCTCGGGCAGTTCTGATAACCCGGCTGAGCTTGGGTTATTGTGGCTTTTATAAAATAAAAAATTCAGCCCTTGGGTTATTGTGGCTTTTATAAAATAAAAATTCAGCCCTCAATGTCACCGTGCACGTGCCGGGCTGTCCCTGTGTC